TTGTGTTGTATTTCATTAGTTTTTATCTCTATTCTTTGTTATCTCTATTATAGAATACTATATCTCAATTCTTTCATTTTCTTTATGTTTAATTTTTTAATCTAACTTCTTGGTATGAATATTTAGATAATTTATTTTTAGTCTATTTTCTTTCCCAATACTTGCATTTGAGGTTATAAAGTTTCCTCTAAGCATGCTTTAGTTGTATCAATTTATATAAATATTTCTATTATTTTGTTTTTAATATATTTTTTATTTCTATTGTAAATTCTTTGAGCCTTGTATAACTTAGAATTTCAAAACAGTTTTGGGACTTTTTTGCCTTTTTAAAATTGACATTTAATTCAGTTCCATTGTTTTCAGAGAATATATTGTGTATGATTTTAATCCTTTGAATTTTGTTGAGGCTTGCAGGCTCAGCATATGGCTAATTGTTGAAAATGCTCTAAGTGAAATCGTGAAATCTCTCAAATTTGTCAGCTGTTTTTCACTTTCATTGTGGTTTTTTTGTTTTGTTTTGTTTTGTTTGTTTTTTTGAGACAGAGTCTTTCTCTGTTGCCCAGGCTGGAGTGCAGTGGCGCAGTCTCGGCTCACTTCAACGTCTGCCTCCCAGATTCAAATGATTCTCCTGCCTTAGCTTCCTGAGTAGCTGGGATTAAAGCCACCCGCCACCACGCCCTGCTAATTTTTGTATTCTTAGTAGAAACAATGCTTCACCATGTTGGCCAGCCTGGTCTCGAACTCCTGACCCCAAGTGATCTGCCCCCCTTGGCCTCCCAAAGTCCTAGGATTACAGGCCTGAGCCATCATGCCTGGCTATTTCACTTTCACTTCTGAAGAACATTTTCACCAGGCCTAGAATTTCGGATTGGCATTGTTTTGTTTTAGCACTTTAAAGATGTAATTCTATTGTCTTCTCACTTCCATCAGTTAGTTAGGTGGGAGGAATAAGTTCAAGAGACCCGTTATACAGCAGGGTGCCCATAGTTAATGACAGTCTACTGTATTCTTTTTTTTATTTTATTTTACTTTAAGTTCTGGGATACATGTGCAGGACATGCAGGTTTGTTACACAGGTATACATGTACCATGGTGGTTTGCTGCACTTATCAAGCTGTCATCTAGGTTTTAAGCCCCACATGCGTTAGGTATTTGTTCTAATGCTCTCCCTCCCCTTGTCTCACTAACCCCCAACAGGCCCTGGTGTGTGATATTCCCTTCCCTGTGTCCGTGTCTTCTCATTGTTCAACTCCCACTTATGAGTGAGAACATGTGGTGTTTGGTTTTCTGTTCCTGTGTTAGTTTGCTGAGAATGATGGCTATTGTATTCTTCAAAGTGCAAAGATAGTGAATGTTAAGTGTTCTCACTGCAAAAGAGATAACTATGGGAGATAATGCCTTTGTCAATTAGATTTAAACATTCCACAATATATATACATACTTCAAAATATGTTACATGTGATAAATACATATGATTTTTATCTGTCAATTAAAAATGTCAGTTGACAGTATTATGTAGTTATTGGGTGTAGTGTTTGTTCTGTATATGACATTTAGGTCAATTTTATCAATTGTGTTCAAAATCCTATAATTTTGTGGTCTGTCTACATATTCTTTCAGTTGCTGAGAAATGTGTGCTAAAATTTCTTATGATGATTTTAGTTCTCTCTAGTCATGTTTTTCAGCTGAATTAGCTTTTCCTTTTGGCTTTGAGTTGTTATGAGGAGCATTCAAACCTAGAAATGTAATATTTCTCTTGTGGATTGACCCTTTTATTACAGAAAGTCCTGTATTATATGTTTAGTAATGCTTCTTGCCTTAAATCTGTTTGTTTGCTACTAGTGCAGCTGTTTCTTGTAAACAGAATGCAGTTGTGTTTTTGTTTTTTTTTTTTTACTTTTATTTACTGGGACCATCTTTTTAAAAAATTTAAATTTTTAAATTTTCTATTTTTATGGGTACATAATAGTTTTACATAGAAAATCTTCTACTTCACTTTCTGTGATTTTATATTCCCTGAGGTATTTTAAAGTTTATCATTTATTTCTTAAAACGTGATAAATACTGTGGTTTAAAAATCTCTTCTAATATACTTAGTATCAGAAGTTTATGGGTGCTATTGTTTTTGCTTTATTCTGTTTCTATTAGTTGTCATTTGCGTTGTCTTATTTCTTTTTATGCCTCTTTTGAGTGCCTACTGTTAATTTTCAATGGAAAATTTGATGGGAATTTATTGAGATTAATGAACGTTTTTCCCCTAGATAGACTTTGGTTTTGCTTCTGCCACGTACCAGGGGCACCACATACCAAGACCAAATTCAGGTATTCTTGCCTCACCCAGTTTATGCCTAGCAACGGTCAGTGGGGACCGGGGTGTGCAAGGAGGTTGTCAAGGGGTTTGGCCTGTGGCCACACTTCTCAAATACTTATTTTTAAACTTTGTTCAGCAACTGTTCTTTGCTGTTTGGGGGCAGGGTACTTTGTATATCTTTTTGTCCTTACCTGAAGAGCGTCGTAGCCTATCAAAGACCTAGTTTCATATGGAGAAAATCTCTTTTAAGTCTTTATACCTTGAATGGACATGAAACCTTGACTCCCTTCTCTTTCAGTCCACATGGGCCAGGGATTGGATTGCAAATCAGCATCACTGGCAAGTGGGTCTGAAGACATGAGCAGCTTTCGTGCTCTTCAGAATTCCACTTGTAAATTTCAGGTTGCAGGCTTTCATCAAAAAATTGGTTTAGTAGTTTCAGCTGAACTTTCAGCTTTTTAACACCTTTAAGGTTGTTTTGGTTCTTTTTAATGAAAAACTTCTGTTTTCAGAGAAGAGCTGATTCACGTAGCCATACTTAACCATTACCTAAATCAGTCTCCCTGTTTTCTGCACGTTGGTGCTGCTTTCTGTGGACCTGGTGCATTCAAGTGTTAAGTATTTCTTGGGCTTTGCCTTAAGAAATATCTTCTAATATGACCCAGCCCCTTTGCCTTAGATGGTGGGTTTTCAATTTCCTCAGCAATTTTTGATGTGTTCGGTAACTCTCTTTTTCTCTGCATGTGGATCAAACCTTTTACATTCTTTTACACTAATCTTAGTGGTATTTTGGAAGCAGCTAAAATAAATGCCCCTTTTCAATCTTATCATGCTTTATCAGAAGTTCAGCCCGTTAAAATCAAATCAAGAACTGTAAAAACACGCCACTGTGATTCTAATGTACATATGGGACTATAAACTACAGCCATACTGCTGTACCTTTTCTTTTTAGTGTATCATTTTCTATTTGTATTATACTGATTTTTGTATATGTTTTATCTCTTGTGCGCCTGTGAATCCCTAAAGGTGGGAGTTATAATGGGTTTATTTTTTCTCTTCCACAATGCCTGGTATAATATCTATCAAATATTATGGATTTCATAAATGTTTGTCAATAAAAGACAAGACATGATCTGAATGGCGCTGATTGAGTGCTAATAAATATTTTCTATTAAGCCCTTTACTTCTCACTCTATAAATGCAACATACTTACCATGAACAGGACAGTAACAGCATTACACTGACTCTTTTGGTGAGAATAACCACAGATGTAGTTTTGATCTAGCATGAAACCAAATGTGAGGAGAATGATTCCAGCTATTGCTCCCAGGGCACTAAGGAAATTCATTATTCGGGTCAGTATTATCTGAAATAGAATAAGAACATAACAATGTGACTCGGGCCCAGCCTGTACTACAAACAAAGCAATGAGTGCAGAGAATGGAGAGCAGGATTTTACTCACAGCATCTTAATGCCACGAGGCAGCTCTGTGGTCCTATGCGAATTGCTTCACATCTTTGGGCTTCAGGCCCTCATCTACACAATGAGGGCATCCTGTGAACTTTTAATAACCTTCCCATTCCCCATATTCTATGCCTAAGTTAACTCTCATTCAGTTGGGAGGAAAGGTGTGCCTGTAACGATTGCAGTTTGATTCTCTGGTGAAAATCATGGTCTATTTACATTTTCGTTTTCAGACTCCTATGTTTAATTAAACGCTGCACTTCTCTGCCATTTTTAATTTCTCCCTAAAATGACAAACGAAGGATTTTCAGTCCTTTTCTAAAATCACGTATTGGCCTAGTAATATTTTATGTCTTCAATTCTTTGAGTAAAGTAAAAATATTCTACTTATAATTTATCTATACCTTTACATTCAGTAGCACTGTATTCTTTATTTTGAGATTCTGTTTATGGTTTAATTAGATTGTCTACAGTTTGCCTTTCAAATGAATCAAAGTAGTGCCTGTCAAAGTGCCTGGAATGCTGTAAATACCCAGAAAACAAAAAAGAATGAATAAGTAACTGGAATATTGAAATAATTCTACCATTAATTGACTGGGAATTTGGACAAGTTATTTAACGATTGTAAGCCTCAGTGTCTTCATACACAAAATAAGAGCTAAACTAGATGACCAGAGAAACTTTCTCCTCTGGCGTAGTGGGTTATAATTCTAGGAAAACAGGAAGCAAATGCTGTTTATTGGTATCAATACTTGATAGTTTGTGGAATTATGGTGACTTAATGATTTTACAAACTTTTTTCAAGGCCAGGATAAATTATTTGAAAGTTATATATTTTTAGTAAAATGGAAATAGTGAAAATGTAACTCATTACTCGTGTGTGTGTGTGTGTGTGTGTGTGTGTGTGTGTGGTGGAGTCTTGTTCCATTGCCCAGGCTGGAATGCAGTGGCATGATCTCAACTCACTGCAACCTCCGCCTCCTGGGTACAAGCAATTCTCCTGCCTCAGCCTCCCAAGTAGCTGGACTACAGGTGTGTGCCACCACACCTGGCTAATTTTATATTTTTAGTAGAGATGGGGTTTCACCATGTTGGCCAGGCTGGTCTTGAACTCCTGACCTCGTGATCCACCCGCCTCGGCCTCCCAAAGTGCTGGGATTACAGGCGTGAGACACCATGCCTGGCTACAAAATATATTTTTAATAAAGTAGAAATATAACTCACCAGAGTTTCTGTGGTTTTTCTTTTCAGTGCAATTAGGAAGGCTCCAGAATTAATGAACTGTTAAGAGGAATAAATACGTTAATGATGGCCATGTTTAGCTGATGTTGAGTTCTTACAGAATAGACATCTATGCAATTCTTTTACATGCCTGCCTTCTAAGTTCGCATACTCCTCAGGGCAGTGAGAAGGGTAAGTTGCTTTATATGACTTTCCGCAAATGGAATAGTGGACGAAACACTGGTCTGGAAATCTGCTTTAGCCCTATTTATTTGAACATGAACTTTTTTTTTTTTTTTAACCATACAGGGCTTTGGTTTGCTCATCCATGTTCCTTTTATAGCTATTGTGAACTCGGCTTTGATCTCATGACAAAGGGATGTCAAGTCAGTTTACAATCATTAAGATCGAATTCCATCTTACTATAATCCAGTGTATTCTCTTGGATGGGAATATAAGGTGGGGTTGCGGTGGATGTGCTGGTAGTTCTTAAAAATCTCCAAGATCTTTCTTGGAAGTGGGTCACACGTGGTAGCATTGTTGTCTAGTGGAAATTTCAAATCTGATTACAGCACATCCATGTTTACATTTCTAGCCCCTTCATGGGCATTTTCCAGCCTCATCCCTCCACCCTCACTCCCTGTGCTGAACTCTTATAGTTCACATAATAGAAAATGCTCTCCCATACCTTCAGCCTTTGCTGATTTTTCGCTCTTGGCATGCAACAAGACATCGCTAATCCTTACACTCAGGCATCCCAACTCCCATCTTCTGTGTGTGTCCTCACCTGATTAACCATTCACCCTTTAAAACTCGTTCAAGCTGGAAATGTCTCTGGGCGTTGTCCCCTCTGTGGAGGGAGCCCCTGTGTCTATTCTCCCTCATCACACCCTATGTTAATTGTCTGACTCCTCACTCAACTGAGGCCTGGAGCTCAGGGACTGCTGTCTTTTTCCTGAATCCATTGCCCTGCCCATGCTGTGGCACTAAATTAGGTCCGAAGTTAATGTTTATTGATTGTGACTAAATTGGGTTTGATAAATACCTCTCTGCAGTTTAAAGGTGTATCTGAGAAACCCTTCCCACTGCACTTCTGTAAAGAATAAATTGCTCCTTCATCTCTGCCTGCATAAGCGCTTCCTGCACCTCTGTGATAATATTTATCACACTGCCTTGAAGTGATCTGTTTACGTGCTTTCTTGCTAGACTGAGAGGTCTTTGGGGGAGAGGCTCACTGCCTTTCTCTGGGTATCTGGCTTATAATAGATAGTAACTAATTTCGAATGAATGAATAGCCAAATAAACAACTTCAAGCCTCGAAAGAAATATTCCCAAAGGAACTTCAAGACCTAATGATGGAATATCAGTGACTGTGATGAACAAATGGGGAAATCATTTCAACAAGGTTAGTTTTTTGCACTTTTGAAAGCATATCATACAACTGGATCTAGCTTATTTCATTACAAAGAATTCCCTAACATCCTGGTTGGCATGGCTTCAAATTGAACTTGATTGACTCTACTCACCAAAACAGAGCCCCAGAATGGATATCCTGAAAGAAATATAAAGGGAAACCTTGGATATGGTTTTAACAAGGTGAAAAGGAAGATAATTCCAAAAGAAAAGGTCATAATTCCAAACAGGATCTGGATAGTCTGCAAATAGAGGAAAAAGTCATGGTGAGGAAAAGCCAAGTGATAGTTTCCCTTCTGTTTAGAAGATCTTTTGGTTAAAAGGATTTGGCAATTACTCTCTTTGGTAATTAGGGAAAGAATAATAGAAGTCCCTTTGTGATGCTCCTGGGTACTTACTTAATTCCTCTATATGGTATTTGGTGAGGGGTAAAATGATCTAAATCAGTGCTCGTGAAAATGTGATCCACGGATTGGCAACATCAGGATCACTTGGGAGCCTGAAATGTGAACTATCAGGCCCTATCCCATACTTACTGAACAGTCTCCAGGTGAGGCTGGGAAATCTGTGTCTTCATAAGCTCTTCAGCTCTTTAGCCCATAAATGTGAATGTTTGAGAAACACTGAATTCTAAATGAGTATACCAGGCTGGCCCCAAGCAGAATTGACCTGGAGATGGCCAATTCTCTGAGCCTGTGACACCAGGCAGTGGTTTGACAAGTGCTGGGGAAGACTAATGAGGACAACATACAAAAATGGAAGGTGTACAACGTGTGAGTCTATGTGCTCTGCTTTCTTCTTCTCAGCCCACCTTCTCAGTCTGAGGAATCTCATTTACTGCCATAGCAACTATCACTTTTTAAGGAAGTGAGTCCTAAATGATAGCATGTTTTT